TGTCGCGCCCCCCCTTGCCGTCCACCATCCGCTGGGTGGTCCTCTGGGTGGTGGAGGTGGTCTCCTTCTCCAGGGCGTCCTGCAGGCTGTGGGGCGGGGGGGGGGGGGGGGGGCTGAGGGGCACCCCGGGGTGTCCCCTCTCCTGCCTGGCTCCCACTGGACACGTCCCCCCCCTTCCCAGAGTCACCCCAAGGAACCCAGAGGACACGGAGCTGGAGCATCCTGGGGGACAGGCTGGGACCTCCCGGCACCTGGGGCACCCAGGGTTCCTCCCCCCTGGATGCCACCGCTGTCCCCTTGCTGTCCCCAGAGTATCCTGGAGGATGGGGCCTGAGACATGCCAGCACTGGCTCCCACTGGACACGTCCCCCCCCTTCCCAGAGTCACCCCAAGGAACCCAGAGGACACGGAGCTGGAGCATCCTGGGGGACAGGCTGGGACCTCCCGGCACCTGGGGCACCCAGGGTTCCTCCCCCCTGGATGCCACCGCTGTCCCCTTGCTGTCCCCAGAGTATCCTGGAGGATGGGGCCTGAGACATGCCAGCACCCAGGGCTCATCCCTTCTGGATGCCACCTCCCTCCCCTTTCCATCTCCAGAGTGTCCTGAAGGATGGGACATGGACATCCCATCACCTGGGGCTCCTCCCCGCTGGATGCCACCGCTGTCCCCTTCCCGTCCCAACACCACCTTCAAGGATGGGACCTGGACATCCCATCACCCAGGGCTCATCCCCACTGGGTGCCACCACTGTCCCCTCGCCATCTCCAGAGAGTCCTTGAGGGTGGAGCTGGGACATGGGAGCAGCCAGGGCTCATCCCTTCTGGATGCCACCTCCGTCCCCTTCCCATCTCCAGAGTGTCCTGAAGGATGGGATCTGGACACCCCATTATCCAGTGCTCATCCCTGCTGGATGCCACCACTGTCCCCTCACTGTCCCCAGAGCACCCTGCAGGATGGACTGGGATGTCCTGGCACCTGGGGCTTATCCCTGCTGGATGCCACCGCTGTCCCCTTGCCATCTCAAGACCACCCTGGAGGATGGGACCTGGACATCCCAGCACCTGGGGCTCATCCCTGCTGGATCCCACCTCCATCCCCTTCCCATCCTAAGACCATACTCAAGGATGGGGCCTGGGACATCCCATCACCCAGGGCTCATCTCCGCTGGATGCCACCGCTGTCCTCTTCCTGTCCCAAGACCATCTTCAAGGATGGGACCTGGACATGCCATCACCCAGGGCTCATCCCTTCTGGATGCCACCCCCCTCCCCTTTCCATCTCCAGAGTGTCCTGAAGTATGGGACCTGGACATCCCAGCACCCAGGGCTCATCCCTTCTGGATGACAGCTCCGTCCCCCTCCCGTCCCAACACCATCTTCAAGGATGGGACCTGGACATCCCATCACCTGGGGCTCATCCCTTCCAGATGCCACCTCCGTCCCCATCCCATCCCAAGCCCACCCTTCATGTTGGATCTGGACCATCCCACCCCTGGTGTCACACCCCCTCTGGATGCCCCCACCGCCTCCCACCCCATCCCCTCTACCTGAACTCCTCTCCCCCCTCTAGCAGGTGCCGATAGGTTGTGATCTCGGCCTCCAGCTTGTCCTTGACGTTGAGCAGCGCCTGGTACTCCTCGGCCTGGTGCTGCAGCTCGTTCCGCACCTGCAGCAGCTCCGCCTCCGCCCTCAGGATGAGGCCATTGAGCTGCTCCAGCTGCATGGCGTAGCGGTTCTCCACCTCCAGCAGGTTGGCCTCCAAACCGCCTTTCTGCAGAGCATCGCCCCAGGGTTCAGCTGGCCACTGAGGGCGGCTGGGTGGCCCCGTGGGGCTGGGAGGGCAGGGGATTTTTTTGGGAGGGGGGGAGGCACCTGGTTGCGGAGGGACTCTAGGTCGATCTCCAGGGTCTGGACGGAGCGACGGAGGTCCACCACAGTGCTGCGGGCCGTGTCGATGTCCTTGGTGCTCTGCGTGATCTCGATGGTGCTCTCGGTGATCTGGGGGACACACGCATGGGCGGTTTGGGGGGGTTGGCGCCTTGGCCTGGCCCACCATGGCCACCCCAACCCATGGAAGGGACAAGGGGGGGTGAAACCACCTCCGGAAGAGCCAACCCCAAGGAGCAGGGTCCCAGATGGGACAGGGGTTGTCCAGGAATGTCCCCAATGTTGGGCCAGGACCCCCTTGGAGAATGTCCCCACTGGGGCTTGGGGTCCGCTCCGGGATAGGGGTCACCCCAAGAATGTCTCCAATGTTGGGCCAGGACCCTATTGGGTCAAGTCCCTCTCATGGGGCGCCTTTGGGGAATACCCCTAGGTTAGACTGGGGACACCCCCCCCCCCCCACTTGGGGCTCCTCCTTGTGTCAGGACCCCAAGATGACCACCCCATTGAGCTGGGGGCTTCCCCCCCCTTGGCTTGACGTCCCCCAAGGAAGACACCCCATGGAGCATTGCCCCAGTTGCCTGGGGACCACCCAGGCTCCCCAGGGTGCAGGTTTGGGGGGGGTGGGGTGGACTCACCTGCTGCCCCCATTGCTTCTCCAGGTCCTCCAGGTTCTTCTGGGCCAGGGCGTCGTACTGCGCCCGGATCTCCGCCATGATCTTGCCCAGGTCCTGTGACTTGGGCGCGTCCACCTCCACCGTCAACGCCGAGTCGGAGATCTGGGCCTGGAGGCTCTTCACCTCCTGACGGGGCAGCAAGGGGCTGGTGTCAGCACAAGGTCCCCACCAGGCCTGGATCCATGCCCCCTTCCCCCTCGGCTTCATCCCTACCTCCTCGTGGTTCTTCTTCATGAAGATGAGCTCCTCCTTGAGGGACTCGATCTCCCCCTCCAACTGCAGCCGGGCCATGTTGGTGTCGTCGATGACCTTGCGCAGCCCCATGATGTCGTTCTCCACCGAGAGGCGGATGGCCAGCTCCGCCTCGTACCTGGGGACACAGCGCTGAGTGGCTCCAGCCCCGCCCGTGTCCCCGGCCCTGTCCTCATCCTTGTCCCCATCCCCATCTGTGTTCTTATCTCTGTCCCATCCCCATCCCATCCCCCTTCCTCTGCCCAACTGTTCCCATCCCCATCCCCATCCCTCTTCCCACTCCCCATCCCCATTCCCAATCCCATTCCCATTCCATCCCCATCCCCACCACCCTTTCCATCCCCATTCCCATTCCCATCTCTGTTTCTACCCCCATTCCCATCCCCGTCCCTGTTCCCATCCCAACCCCATTCCCATCCCCATTCCCACCCCATTCTCCCCCCATCTC